GGATTTTGGGGGATTTGAGGGGGATTTGGGGGGCAATTGGGGGAAGTGGGGGGAATTTGGGAGGTCTGAGGGGAATTTGCGGGATTTGGGAGAGATTTGAGGGGATTTGTGGGGTTTTGGGGTGGATTTTTGGTTGGATTTTGGGATGTCTGGGGTCCCCGGGGGGTGTTTTGGGATGTTTTGGGGTGTTTTGGGGTGTTTTGAGTGGATTTTGGGGTATTTTGGGGGTGGATTTTGGGGTCCCTGGGGTGGATTTTGGGGTGTTTTGAGTGGATTTCGTGGTGTTTTGGGTGGATTTTGGGGTCCCCGGGGGGGTTTGGGGCGGATTTTGGTCTGGTTTTGGATGTTTTGGGTGGATTTTGGGGTGTTTTGGGTGGATTTTGGGGTGTTTTGGGTGGATTTTGGGGTCCCCGGGGGGGTTTGGGGTGGATTTTGGTCTGGTTTTGGATGTTTTGAGTGGATTTTGGGGTGTTTTGGGTGGATTTTGGGGTGTTTTGGGTGGATTTTGGGGCCCCGGGGTCTCCATCCCCCCCTGTCCCCGCAGGCGCTGGCGGCTCCGGGCGGAGAAACGGCAACGAGACCCCGGGGGGCGCGGTAAGGGCACCCCAAAACGGCCCCAAAATCGCCCCAAAAGGGCCCTAAATGGCCCCAAAAAGGGCCCTAAATGGCCCCAAAAATGTCCCCAAATGTCCCCAAAAAGGGCCCTAAATATCCCTAAAAATGTCCCCAGAAATGGCCCCAAATATCCTTAAAAACGGCCCCAAAACTGTCCCCAAAAACGTCCTCAAAATTGTCCCAAAAATGTCCCCAAAAATGTTCCCAGAAATGGCCCCAAAAATGTCCCCAAATGTCTTCAAAAATATCCCCAAAAATGTCCCCCGAAATGTCCCCAAATGTCCCTAAAAATGGCCCTAAGAATGTCCTCAAAAATGTCCAAAAATGTCCCCAAATATCCCCAAAAATGGCTCAAAAATGTCCCTGAAAATGACCCTAAAAATGTCCCCAAATGGCCCCAAAACCGGCCCCAAAAATGTCCCAAAATGTCCCTAAAATGTCCCCAAAAATGTCCCTAAAAATCTCCCCAAATGTCCCTAAAATGTCCCCAAAAAGTCCCCAAATATCTCCAAAAATGGCCTGAAAAATGTCCCAAAATGTCCCTAAAAATGGCCCCAAAAATGTCCCCAGGTGACCCCAGGTGTGACCCCAGGTGACCCCAGGTGACCCCAGGGGTGACCCCAGGTGTGACCCCAAATGACCCCAGGTGACCCCAGGTGTGACCCCGGGTGACCCCAGGTGACCCCAGGTGTGACCCCGGGTGACCCCAGGTGACCCCAGGTGTCCCCGCAGGTGGCGCGTTCTACATCGACCCCCTGACCTACGAGGAGCCCGAGGTGGCGCTGAGGGACCTGGCCCAGGAGATCGACGTCACCTGTGTCACCATCTGCGAGGTCATCGGGGCAGGTGAGACCTTGGGGACATCACACACACACCTGGGACACACCTGGGCACACCTGAGACACACCTAGGCACACCTGGGGACATCATAGATACACCTGGGACACACCTGAGACACCTGGGGGCATTGGGGACACACCTGGCACACACCTGAGACACACCTGGGGACACCTGAGACACCTGGGGACACACCTGGGACACACCTGGACACAGCTGGGGCCGCGGTTTGGGGGCATTCGGGGCATTTTGGGGGGTCTCACCTGGCCCAGGTGAGCTCGGCAAGGTGCGGGTACTTTTTGGGTGGATGAATCCATGTTTTGGGTGCATTTATCCACATTTTGGGTAATTCCGGGTGCATTTCTCTGGATTTCGCCCCCAGGCGAGTTCGGCGAGGTGTGGGTGGGTTTTTGGTTGGGTTTATCTGGATTTTGGGTGCCTTTATCCACATTTTGAGTGCGTTTATCCACATTTTGGGTATTTTTGAGTGCATTAACCCAGATTTTTGGGTATTTTGGGTAATTCCGGGTGGATTTCTCCGCATTTCCCATCGCCAGGCGAGTTCGGCGAGGTGTGGATATTTTTGGGTGCATTTATCCACATTTTGGGTGCATTTATCCATATTTTAGGTGCGTTTATCCACATTTTGTGTATTTTTGAGTGCATTTACCCAGATTTTTGGGTATTTTGGGTAATTCCGGGTGCATTTATTCACATTTCCCGTCGCCAGGCGAGTTTGGCGAGGTGTGGGTGGGTTTTGGGTGTATTTATCCATACTTTAGGTGCGTTTATCCACATTTGGGGTATTTTTGAGTGCATTTACCCAGATTTTTGGGTATTTTGGGTAATTCCGGGTGCATTTATTCACATTTCCCGTCGCCAGGCGAGTTTGGCGAGGTGTGGGTGGGTTTTGGGTGTATTTATCCATACTTTAGGTGCATTTATCCACACTTTGTGTATTTTTGAGTGCATTTATCAGGATTTTGGGTAATTCCGGGTGCATTTCCCGCCGCCAGGCGAGTTCGGCGAGGTGTGGCGCGGGCGGCTGGCGCTGCCGGGCCAGCCCGAGGCCGAGGTGGCCGTCAAGACGCTCAAGGGCGGCGCGGGCGAGCGGCAGCGGCGCGAGTTCCTGCGCGAGGCCGCGCGCATGGCGCAGTTCCTGCACCCCAACGTGCTGCGGCTGCGCGGCGTCGTCAGCGCCGGCTCGCCCGCCATGATCGTCACCGAGTTCCTGGAGCACGGCGCGCTCGACGCCTTCCTCAGGGTGGGGACACCGAGGGGACATTGGGGGCGTTGGGGACAATGGGGGGATTGGGGACATTGGGGGGATTGGGGACATCGAGGGGATTGGGGACATTGGGGACATTGAGGGGACATTGGGGACATTGAGGGGACATTGGGGACATTGAGGGGACATTGGGGACATTGAGGGGACATTGGGGACATTGAGGGGACATTGGGGACATTGAGGGGACATTGGGGACATTGAGGGGACATTGGGGACATTGGGAAGATTGGGAGGATTGGGGACATTTGGGTCGTTGGGGACACCGAGGGGATTTGGGGACATCGAGAGGATTGGGGACATTGAGGGGACATTGGGGACATTGGGGGGATTGGGGACATCGAGGGGATTTGGGGACATTTGGGACATTGAGGGGATTTGGGGACATTTTGGGGGATCGGGGACATTTTGGGGACATCGGTCACTCCACACCTTCCCCAGGCCACGGGGACGCGAGGACGTGACCCCCCCGTCCCCTTTGTCCCCCCGTGACCCCTGTGTGACCCCGTGTGACCCCAGGGCCGCGAGGGGACGCTGTCCCCGCTGCAGCTGGTGGCCATGCTGCGCGGCATCGCCGCCGGCATGCGCTACCTGGCCGAGGCCGGCTTCGTGCACCGCGACCTGGCCGCGCGCAACATCCTGGTGGACGGACATCGAGGGGATTTGGGGACATTTGGGACATTGAGGGGATTTGGGGACTTTGGGGACATTTTGGGGACATCGGTCACTCCACACCTTCCCCAGGCCACGGGGACGCGAGGACGTGACCCCCCCGTCCCCTTTGTCCCCCCGTGACCCCTGTGTGACCCCGTGTGACCCCGTGTGACCCCGGTGTGACCTCCCCGTGACCCCGTGTGACCCCAGGGCCGCGAGGGGACGCTGTCCCCGCTGCAGCTGGTGGCCATGCTGCGCGGCATCGCCGCCGGCATGCGCTACCTGGCCGAGGCCGGCTTCGTGCACCGCGACCTGGCCGCGCGCAACATCCTGGTGGACGCGCACCTCGTCTGCAAGGTGGGCACCTTTGGGGGGGTTTCGGGGGGTTTTGGGGGTTTTGGGGTGATTCTGGGAGGTTTTGGGGTGCACAACATCCTGGTGGACGTGCACCTCGTCTGCAAGGTGGGCACCTTTGGGGGGGTTTCGGGGGGTTTTGGGGTGATTTCAGGGGATTTTAGCGGGTTTTGGGGTGATTCTGGTGGTTTTGGGGTGATTCTGGGAGGTTTTGGGGTGCACAACATCCTGGTGGACGCGCACCTTGTCTGCAAGGTGGGACCCCGGTGGGTTTGGGGTGATTTCAGGGGGTTTTGGGGTGATTCTGGTGGTTTTGGGGGTTTTGGGGTGATTTCGGGGGGTTTTGGGGTGATTCTGATGGTTTTGGGGGATTTTAGCGGGTTTTGGAGGATTCTATTTGGTTTATGGGGTGATTTCGGGGGGTTTTGGGGCACACAACATCCTGGTGGACGCGCACCTCATCTGCAAGGTGGGACCTCAGCAGGTTTTGGGGGGATTTGGGGTGATTTTGGTGGTTTTGGGGAATTCTGTTGGATTTTGGGGGGATTCGGTTGGGTTTTGGGGGCATTCCGGGGGGTTTGGAGCATTTTGTTGGGTTTTGGGGAATTTTGTTGGGTTTTCGGGGATCCCGTTGGGTTTTTGGGATTATTCTGTTGGATTTTGGGGGGATTCCGGTGGTTTTTGGGATGATTCTGTTGGATTTTGGGGGTTCTGTTGCATTTTGGGGGGATTCTCTTGGATTTTGGGGTCCTGTTGGATTTTTGGGGTCATTCCATTGGATTTTGGGGTTCTGTTGCATTTTTGGGATGATTCTGTTGCATTTTTGGGGTCATTCTGTTGGATTTTGGGATCATTCTGTTGGATTTTGGGGTTCTGTTGGATTTTTGGGGTCATTCTGCTGGGTTTTGGGGTCCTGTTGGATTTTGGGGTCCTGTTGGATTTTTGGGGTCATTCCGCTGGGTTTTGGGGCCAGGTGTCCGACTTCGGGCTGTCGCGGGCGCTGGACGGGGACAGGGACAACGACCCCACCTACACCAGCTCCCTGGTGAGACCCCCGGGAGCGGGGCTGGGGCGTTCCGGCGGGATTTGGGGGGTTCCGGCGGGATTTGGGATTTCCCAGGTGGGCATTGGTGTTTCCCAGGCGGGTTTTTTGGGGTTTCCTGGGGGATTTTGGGGGTTTCCTGGGAGGTTTTGGGGTTTACTGGGGGATTTTCGGGGTTTCCTAGAGGATTTGGGATTTCTCAGGTGGTTTTGAGGTTTCCCAGATGGAAATTTGGGGTTTCCTGGGCGGGGTTTGGGGTGTTTTGGGGTTTCCCGGGTGGTTTTAAGGTTTCCTGAGGGATTTTGGGGTTTCCCAGGTGGGTATTGGGATTTCCTGTGTGATTTTGGGCGTTTCCTGGAGGATTCTGGGGTTTCCCAGAGGATTTGAGATTTCCTGGGTGGTTTTGAGGTTTCCTGGGTGTTTTGGGGGTATCCTGGGCCGGATTTTGGGATTTCCTGTGGGATTTTGGGGGGTTTCCCAGGTGTTCTGGGATTTCCCAGTTGCTTTTGAGCTTTCCCGGGGTGTTTTGGGGTTTCCTGGGGGATTTTGGGGGGTTTCCCAGGTGCTTTTGAGGTTTCCCGGGGCGTTTCGGGGTCCCCCTGACCCCCCGGGCCCCCGGGCAGGGCGGGAAGATCCCGATCCGCTGGACGGCGCCCGAGGCCATCGCCTTCCGCACCTTCACCTCGGCCAGCGACGCCTGGAGCTACGGCATCGTCATGTGGGAGGTGCTGAGCTTCGGCGAGCGGCCCTACTGGGACATGTCCAACCAGGACATGAGTCACCCCAAATCCGGGACCCCAAAAACCCCAAAAAACCCAACAAAAACCCCAAATTCACAAAAAACCCCCAAATCGGCCCAAAAAACCCGGGTTCATGAGGAGGTGCGGCGCTACTGGGACATGTCCAACCAGGACATGAGTCACCCCAAATCCGGGACCCCAAAAACCCAAAAAACCCAAAAAAACCCCAAAGAAAACCCCAAAAAAACCCCACCAAAAAACCCAAAACCCAAAAAAACCCCAAATCGGCCCAAAAACCCCGGGTTCATGAGGAGGTGCGGCCCTACTGGGACATGTCCAACCAGGACGTGAGTCACCCCAAATCCGGCACCCCAAAAACCCCAAAAACCCAAAAAACCCAAAAAAACCCCAAATCGGCCCAAACGTGCCGGGTTCATGAGGAGGCGCGGCCCTACTGGGACATGTCCAACCAGGACGTGAGTCACCCCAAATCCGGCACCCCAAAAACCCCAAAAACCCAAAAAACCCAACAAAAACCCCAAATTCACCAAAAAACCCCAAATCGGCCCAAAAAACCTGGGTTCATGAGGAGGTGGGACATGTCCAACCAGGACGTGAGTCACCCCAAATCCGGGACCCCAAAAAACCCCAAAAAACCCACCAGGAACCGCAAATCCCCCAGATTGCCAATATTATCAATATGATCAATATCCCAGGTGATCGATGCCATCGAGCAGGACCATTACCCACGTTATCAATGAAATAACTGTTTCCAATATCACCAATACGGTCAATACTATTGATCCGCGGGTGATCGACGCGATCGAGCAGGACCATTACCAATGCTCTCAATGTAACCAATATTTCCAATATATAATCAATCCCCAGGTGATCGACGCGATTGAGCAGGACCATTACCAATGCTATCAATGTAATCAATGTTTCCAATACGATCAATATGATCAATACCCCCGGTGATCGACGCGATCGAGCAGGACCATTACCAATGCTCTCAATGTAACCAATATTTCCAATATATAATCAATCCCCAGGTGATCGACGCGATTGAGCAGGACCATTACCAATGCTATCAATGTAATCAATGTTTCCAATACGATCAATATGATCAATATTTCCAATCTAATCAATGCAATCAATGTGATCAATACCCCAGGTGATCGACGCGATCGAGCAGGAGTATAACCCATGTTATCAATGCTGTCACTGTTACCAATATCACCAATATAACCCATATTATTGATATCCCAGGTGATCAACGCGATCGAGCAGGACCATTACCAATCTAATCAATCTAATCAATCTAATCAATGTGATCAATACCCCAGCTGATCGACGCGATCGAGCAGGACCATAACCCATGTTACCAATGCAATCAATCTAATCAATCTGATCAATGCTATTGATCCGCAGGTGATCAATGCGATCGAGCAGGACCATTACCAATCTAATCAATCTAATCAATGTGATCAATACTATTGATGCGCAGGTGATCAATGCGATCGAGCAGGACCATTACCAATCTAATCAATCCAATCAATGTGATCAATACTATTGATCCCCAGGTGATCATGCGATCGAGCAGGACCATTACCAGTCTAATCAATCTAATCAATACAATCAATATTATCGATACCCCAGGTGACCAATGCGATCAAGCAGGACCGTTACCAATCTAATCAATGTGATCAATGTGATCAATCCGCAGGTGATCGACACGATCGAGCAGGACCATTACCCATCTAATCAATCTAATCAATACGATCAATATTATCGATACCCCAGGTGATCGACGCGATCGAGCAGGACCATTACCAATGCTCTCAATGTTACCAATATCACCGATATTACCGATATTATTGATCTCTCAGGTGACCAATGCGATCGAGCAGGACCGTTACCCATCTAATCAATGTGATCAATACTATTGATCCGCAGGTGATCGACGCGATCGAGCAGGAGTACCGGCTGCCGGCGCCGCCGCGCTGCCCGGCGCCGCTGCACGCGCTGATGCTGCAGTGCTGGCAGCGCGAGCGCAGCGCCCGGCCCAGCTTCCCGCAGCTGCTGCGCGCCCTCGGGGCACTGGGGTCATACTGGGAGGGCTGGAGGGCACTGGGGGCACTGGGAATGGGGGTTGGGGGACACTGGGGGCACTGGGAGGGCATTGGGGTGATACTGGGATGACACTGGAGGGCACTGGGGGGCACACGGTGACCCCGTGGTGACCCCGTGGTGACCCCGCGGTGACCCCGCGGTGACCCCACGGTGACCCCCGCGCCCCTCCCCAGGGACCTGCTGCACATGGGGGTGACGCTGCCCGGGCGGCAGAGCCCCCCCAAAGGGGACCCCCGGTGCTGACCCCGCCCACGGCAAGATGGCCGCCGCTAAAAAACACTGATGGATGGGGGAGCAAGATGGCTGCCGGGACAATATGGCTGCCATTCCAACATGGCTGCCATTCCAACATGGCTGCCAGGACAATATCGCTGCAATTCCAATATGGCCGCCATTCCAATATGGCCACCAGGACAACATGGCTGCCCATTCAATATGGCCACCAGGACAATATGGCCGCCAATCCAACATGGCTGCCAGGACATATGGCTTCCAATCCATCATGGCTGCCGATCCATCATGGCCGCCAATCCAACATGGCCGCCATTCCAACATGGCCGCCATTCCAACATGGCTGCCGATCCAACATGGCCGCCATTCCAACATGGCTGCCGATCCAACATGGCCGCCATTCCAACATGGCTGCCGATCCAACATGGCCGCCATTCCAACATGGCTGCCGATCCAACATGGCCGCCATTCCAACATGGCTGCTGATCCAACATGGCTGCCATTCCAACATGGCCGCCGATCCAACATGGCTGCCAGGACAATAAGGCTCCGCCCACCAACCACCCAGTGGGCGGGGTAATATGGCCGCCATTCCAATATGGCCACCAGGACAACATGGCCGCCATTCCAATATGGCCACCAGGACAATATGGCCGCCAATCCAACATGGCTGCCAGGACATATGGCTTCCAATCCATCATGGCTTCCAATCCATCATGGCTGCCGATCCATCATGGCCGCCAATCCAACATGGCCGCCATTCCAACATGGCCGCCATTCCAACATGGCTGCCGATCCAACATGGCCGCCATTCCAACATGGCTGCTGATCCAACATGGCTGCCATTCCAACATGGCCGCCGATCCAACATGGCTGCCAGGACAATAAGGCTCCGCCCACCAACCACCCAGTGGGCGGGGCCTGCATGGGGTGATCTCGGGGGTGGAGCCTGAGTGGGCGTGGCCACCAGTGGGAGTGGTCAGACCCGAGTGGGCATGGCCAACACGGGCGTGGTCACGGTGGGCGTGGTCACAGTGGGCGTGGCCCCGCTGCTTTTATTGTCCCCCATTCCGCTCACAGCCAATAAACGCGGCCGATGCAAACGAGGGGGCGGGGCTGTCCCCAAGGCCACTCCCCCTCCCCCGTCCCCGTGTCCCCAAAGTCCCCCAGGGGTCACCAGGGGCCACCCCCGCCCCGAGTGTCCCCAGGGTCCCCAAAATCCCCTTTCCTGTCCCCAAAATCCCCTCAGATGTCCCCAAGATCCCCCCTGGTGTCCCCAGGGTCCCTTTTCCTGTCCCCAGGGCCACCCCCCTCCCAGCTGTCCCCGTGGCCCCAGGTGTCCTCCCTGTCCCAGCTGTCCCCAAGGCCACCCCCGATGTCCCCAAGGTCCCCAAGGCCACCCCCGAGGTCCCCAAGGTCCCCGAGTTCCCCGATGTCCCCGAGGTCCCCAGGGCCCCTGATGTCCCCAAGGCCACCCCTGATGTCCCCGAGGTCCCCAATGTCCCCAAGGCCACCCCACTTGTCCCCACCTGCCCTGTGTTTGTCCCCGCTGTCCCCGATGTCCCCGATGTCCCCGAGGCCGCCCCCGCCGTCCCCGAGGTCCCCGCAGTCCCCGCCGTCCCCGAGGCCGCCCCCGATAGGGTCCCTTTTCCTGTCCCCAGGGCCACCCCCCTCCCAGCTGTCCCCGTGGCCCCAGGTGTCCTCCCTGTCCCAGCTGTCCCCAAGGCCACCCCCGATGTCCCCAAGGTCCCCAAGGCCACCCCTGAGGTCCCCGAGGTCCCCGAGTTCCCCGATGTCCCCAAGGCCACCCCAGCTGTCCCCACCTGCCCTGTGTTTGTCCCCGATGTCCCCGAGGTACCCGAGGATGCCCCCAATGTCCCCGCTGTCCCCGATGTCCCCGAGGCCGCCCCCGCCGTCCCCGAGGTCCCCGCAGTCCCCGCCGTCCCCGAGGCCGCCCCCGATGTCCCCGCTGTCCCCGGCCAGCGCCCCGGCCGTGCCGCGCAGGGTCCAGGCCAGCAGCGCCAGCCGCAGCCGGGCGCTGTCCCCCGCCGCTGTCCCCGGGGTCCCCAGGGTCCCTGTGCCAGGTGACACAGGTGACACAGGTGACACACGGGTGACACTCAGGTGACACTCAGGTGACACGGGTGACACAGGTGACGCTCAGGTGACACAGGTGACACAGGTGACACTCACGGCCATGAGGCGCGCGTTGAAGCCGCGGTTCAGGCGCTCGTTGCCGCTGTCGGCCCCGGCCATGTCCCGGCGCAGCGCGGCCGCCGCGCGCACCACGCCGCCGCGGGCCGAGGAGAGGCACTGCAGCCACAGCCCCCGCGCCTGGGGACACCATACTGGTTATACTGGTTATACTGGAAGCCCTGGGGGCACTGCAGCGCGCACCACGCCGCTGCGGGCCGGGGACAGGCACTGCAGCCACAGCCCGCGGGCCTGGGGACACCATACTGGTTATACTGGAAGCCCTGGGGGCACTGCAGCGCGCACCACGCCGCTGCGGGCCGGGGACAGGCACTGCAGCCACAGCCCGCGGGCCTGGGGACACCATACTGGTTATACTGGAAGCCCTGGGGGCACTGCAGCGCGCACCACGCCGCTGCGGGCCGGGGACAGGCACTGCAGCCACAGCCCCCGCGCCTGCACAGGTTATACTGGTTATACTGGTTATACTGGGAGCACTGGGAGCAGTGGTTATACTGGGATTGGTTATACTGGGAGGGACTGGGGTATACTGGGATATACTGGGTTATATTGGAATGAACTGGTCTGACCAGAAGTGTCCCCCCAGTCCCCCTCCCAGCACCACACTGGTCCACACTGGTCTATACTGGTCAGCCGGCCCCGCAGCCGCGTCCCCAAACGGGAAAACGTGTCCTCGCGTGTCCCCAGGGCCGCGTAGGGACTGCCACCGGCCTGAGGGGACACAGGGACACACGGTGACACAGGGTGACACAGGGACACACACAGTGACACAGGGACACGGCGCGCGTCACCGCAGGCAGCCGGCCCCGCAGCCGCGTCCCCAAACGGGAAAACGTGTCCTCGCGTGTCCCCAGGGCCGCGTAGGGACTGCCACCGGCCTGAGGGGACACAGGGACACACGGTGACACAGGGTGACACAGGGACACACACAGTGACACAGGGACACGGCGCGCGTCACCGCGGGCAGCCGGCCCCGCAGCCGCGTCCCCAGCCGCGAAAACGTGTCCTCGCGTGTCCCCAGGGCCGCGTAGGACCCGCCACCGGCCTGGGGGGACACAGGGCACACAGAGGGACACACAGAGTGACACAGGGACACACAGGGGACATGGAGGGGACACAGAGTGACACACGGTGACACTGAGTGACACAGGGACACACAGGGACACACAGAGGGTGACACAGGGACACACACAGGGTGACACAGAGTGACACAGAGTGACACAGGGACAAAGAGTGACACAGGGACACACAGGGACACACAGAGGGTGACACAGAGTGACACAGGGACACACACAGGGTGACACAGAGTGACACAGGGACACACACAGGGGGACACAGGGGGACACAGGGTGACACAGAGTGACACAGGGACGCACACAGGGTGACACAGGGACACGGTACGGACATGGGGACAGCCGGGACACAGGGGCGGTGTGGGAACGCCTGGGGACACCTGGGGACACTTGGGGACACCTTGGGGACACTCGGGAACGCTTTGGGGACATTCGGGGACACCCTGGGGACACTGGGGACACCCAGGACCACCTGAGAACACCTTGGGGACACCTTGAAGACACTCAGGGACACCTTGGTGACACCTTGGGGACACCCTGGGGACACTGGGGACACCCAGGACCACCTGAGAACACCTTGGGGACACCTTGGTGACACCCTGGTGACACCTTGGGGACACCCTGGGGACACTTTGGGGACACCTGAGGGCACTTGGAGACACTCAGGGACACTCAGGGACCTGGAGACACCCTGGGGACACCTGGGACCACCTGAGGACACTTGGAGACACTCAGGGACACTTTGGTGACATTTGGTGACCCTTTGGTGACACCTTGGTGACACCCTGGGGACACTTCAGGGACATTGCGGACACTCAAGGACACTTGGAGACACTTAGGGATACCTGAGGACACTTGGGGACACTCAGGGACACCCTGGTGACACCTTGGGGACACCTTGGGGACACCTTGGGGACACTTTGGGGACACCCTGGGGACACTTTGGGGACACCTGAGAACACTCAGGGACACTCGGGAACACCTGGGGACACTTGGAGACACTCAGGGACACTCAGGGACCCCTTGCTGACCCCTTGGTGACACTTGGTGACCCCTGGTGACCCCTGGTGACACCTGGTGGCCCCTGGTGGCCCCTGGTGACCCCTGGTGGCCCCTGGTGGCCCCGTGCCCACCTCCTCGAAGGCCAGCTCCAGCGCCGGGACCCCCGCGGCCGCCGCGAAGGGGAAGGCGCCGCCCTGGGGGTCCAGGGGGCGGATCCTGGGGGGGCACAGGGGGGGTGGGTGGCACCCGGGGTCACCCCGAGGTGTCCCCGAGGTGTCCCCGAGGTGTCCCCGAGGTGTCCCCGAGGGTCCCCGAGGGTGTCCCCGAGGTGTCCCCGAGGGTCCCCGAGGTGTCCCCGAGGGTCCCCAGGCTCACACGTCGCTCTCCCAGCGCCGCCCCGGCCGCCTCAGCTGCTCCAGGAGGCTCCGGCCGCCCTCGTTGGGGCTCTCCACCTTTTGGGGAGGGGTCGTGGGTGACGTGGGGGTGGGGGAGGGGCGGCCCCTCCCCCCCCCCACGCTCCGGAGACCCCTCCCCTAAACTTGGGGCGCCCCCAAACCCCAAATTCCCCGATTTCAGACCCAAACTTTTCAATTCCAGCCCCAAATTCCCAAATTCCAACCCAAAACTTTTCAATTTTAACCCCAAATTCCCCGATTTCCTCAATCCCGGCCCCAAATTCCAACCCCGAATTCTCAAATTCCAGCCCCAAATTATCGAATTCCAGCCCGAAATTCCCCAAATTTCAACCCCGAATTCCCCGATTTTAACCCCAAATTTCCTCAATTCCTGCCCCAAATTCTCCAATTTCAACCCAAATTTCCTCAATTTTAGACACAAATTTTTCAATTTCCACCCCAAATTCCCCAAATTCCAACCCCGAATTCCCCAAATTTCAACCCCAAATTTCCTCAATTTTAGACACAAATTTTTCAATTTCCACCCCAAATTCCCCAAATTCCAGCCCCAAATTCCCCAATTTTTACCCCAAAATCCCCAATTCCAACCCCAAAATCTCCAATTTTTACCCCAAATTCCCCAATTTTAACCCCAAATTCCCCAAATTCCAACCCCAAATTCCCCAATTTTTACCCCAAAATCCCCAATTCCAACCCCAAAATCTCCAATTTTTACCCCAAATTCCCCAATTTTAACCCCAAATTCCCCAAATTCCAACCCCAAATTCCCCAATTTTTACCCCAAAATCCCCAATTCCAACCCCAAAATCTCCAATTTTTACCCCAAATTCCCCAATTTTAACCCCAAATTCCCCAAATTCCAACCCCAAATTCCCCAATTTTTACCCCAAAATCCCCAATTCCAACCCCAAAATCTCCAATTTTTACCCCAAATTCCCCAATTTTAACCCCAAATTCCCCAAATTCCAACCCCAAATTCCCCAATTTTTACCCCAAAATCCCCAATTCCATCCCCAAATTCCCCAATTTTTACCCCAAATTCCCCAATTCCAGCCCCAAATTCCCCAATTCCAACCCCAAAATCCCCAATTTTTACCCCAAATTCCCCGATTCCCGCCCCAAACCCGTGGCCCCGCCCCCGGCCCCGCCCTCACCCTCCCGGCCAATGGCGGCGAAGAAGCGGGCGAGCTCCAGCAGGAGGGCGGTGCCCAGGGCCGAGGCCGCCGCCCCCGGGCCCAGCGAATCGCGTTGGGCGCCCACGATGATGTAACAGTCTGGGCGGGGCCGGGTCAGCGAGGCCACGCCCCCTCCAGGCACCGCCCCTCCCGATTGGCCACGCCCGTTTGTTGCCCCGCCCACCAAACCCCTGCATTGGCCACACCCCCCGACCACACCCGATTTAGCCACGCCCACTATGCTCTTTATTCCCATTGCCCCGCCCTCCTCTGGCATGGCCACGCCCACATTCTGACCGCACCCACAGTGGCCACGCCCCTCCCATATTGACCACACCCAATTTAGCCACGCCCCCATCCTCATTATCCCCATTGCCCCGCCCTCCTGTAACCCCTCCCATGGCCACGCCCACTCTGACCACACCCAATTTAGCCACGCCCCTCCCCTTCTCATTATCCCCATCCTCTGACCACGCCCCTCCCATCTTGACCACGCCCCCAACCCTCCCCAAACCTGGCCACGCCCACAGGGCCACACCCAGGTTTAGCCCCGCCCCCTTTCCCCCTTTCCCCTTTCCCCACCACCTTGGGGACACCTTGA